AGGATCTGTGTCGTCGGGAAAACTTTGGAGAATCTTTGCATCTTGGTGAGTACTGACTATGATTTTGTTTCCCGGTTTTTCCTTTTTGTTGTAACTACGGCCGTGTAACACCGTGTTGTAAGTTGCATTGTAAACCTTACGGCGAAAAACATTTTTCGTGTCTACATTTCCGACTTACTTTTCATACCTGCCCAGGCTAAAATGGCCAAATTTTTACTTTGATTATTAGCAAGACGTGTGCATAGAACCAGGCCCGGTAACTTTTTGTAAGTCCCATATGGCAGAGAACTCCATTTACGTCGTCCACATTTTGACTTCCTTGTTACAATGTTTCCCTGCTCATTTCCTGTCCTTTAAAAACTCTGCCATCATGCAAATCATTCGAAACCTGTGTTGATTAACCAAAACAGTTGCAATAAAATTTATGCATTTTCAGTGTGCATACAATATACGCGATTGTCAATTCCATTCATTTGACACGTTGAATTGTACGTTATTCCTTTAGGATCAGCAGTTTGACCAACATGGCGACCAGAGCTGAATCTCACCTGAAACAAGAAAAAGTAGAGAGTGGAGGTGGAAAACAGGATTCTCCGCGTACCCACAAGTGCGGCGAGTGTGGCAAGGAGTTTCGCTACCTGAGTGAGTTGAAGCGACACTTGCTAACTCATACAGGAGAGAAAGCTTACCGGTGTGAGGAATGCAACAAAGTCTTTAGTCTGTTGGGTAGTCTGAAGAGACACAATCGGACTCACACAGGTGAGAAATCCTACAGATGTGAGGAATGTGGCAGGTGTTTTCTTGAGCTAGGTGATTTGAAGAGGCACGTTCGAACTCACACTGGTGAGCAACCGTACAGGTGCAGCAAGCAGTTCAGTGAGCTGGGTAGTCTGAAGGAGCACGTGCGGACCCACGCTGGTGAGACACCGTACAGATGTGAGGAGTGCGACTGGTCGTTTTGTACACTGTCAGGTCTAAAGACACACATGCGGACTCACACAGGTGAGAAACACTACAGATGTGAGGAGTGCAGCAGGCAGTTTAGTCAGCTGGGAAATCTAAAGAGACACATGCGAACTCACACTGGTGAGAAACCGTACAAGTGTGAGGAGTGCAGCAGACAGTTCAGCAGGATGGGTAATCTAAAGACTCACATGCGGACTCACACTGGTGACAAGCCGTAAAAATGTGAGGAGTGTAGCCGGCCGTTCAGTAAACTGTCAGATCTAAAGATACACATACGGACTCACACTGGTGAAAAACCGTACAGATGTGAGAAGTGTGGCAAGCAGTTCAGCCAGTTGTCAAGTCTAATGACACACATGCGAACGCACACTGGTGAGAAACCGTACAGGTGTGAGGAGTGCGGCAAGCAGTTTAGTCAGCTGACAAATCTAAAGACACACATGCGGACTCACACTGGTGAGAAACCGTACGTATGCAAGGAGTGTAACAGAAAGTTTAGTCGGTTGGTAAGTTTAAAGAAGCACATGCGGACTCATACAAGAAAAAGCGAACACGTTTGAAAATGCAACGAAAACAACGATCATTTTACATCACGATCGACGCATGTCCTGTATATATATAGTTTGAACTGGAAGTACAATGTAGTGTGTAAAAAGGCGAGAGTGCAGTATTTCGACACTCTGTAAACAAGTTTTCTTCTTGTCTCGATCACGATCGTTGTATGCTCCGTAGTATCGTTTTTAGATCTAGAAGTGCTTCAAGTAGAGTGTAAAATACGAATGTAGAGTGTTCGGACACTCACGTAAGATTCACGTTGTAAGACACCGTTCGTTTGACGTCTGTCAATTAGTTGTCGCCGGTTGTTTTAGTTATTATTGTGTAGCATGATTTGAGTCAGTAGTGAGGTTTTAGATCACTTTTAGCAATGTGACCTGAGCTCTTATTTACTGTTTCCTTTCAGTAGTGCACTCTCTACATGACTAAATTGTAAAATTACGAATGCATGCTCCGTAGCCTGTTGATTAGAACTAGAAGTCGTGTGTAAAATGCGACTGTGGATTGTTTAGACAATAGCGACAGAGTTACACGGTAAGAGACCGTTCGTTTGGCGTCAAGGCACATGGTCCGTCTGTTATAGCACTTATGATAGTCCACTTTCCAGACCAGATAAAACTAATTTTCTTTGAATTGCTTTTAAGTAACCGCAGTATACTTGATTCTTAGAATGTAAAATTTAGAGTTAGTTAGCAGCATATATGTTAGTTCTAGATGCACTAGAGTGTTGTTTGTTTAATATTGTTTGTTTTTATAAGTGTTCTGTAACTAGCCGTAGGTGTTAGAGATTTGTCAACTTTCTGCATCTTAGTTTCACCAATAAATCAAAGCACGTAATGTGTTGTCTTCTTTAATCATCTTTTTCCCAAGAATGTTGTCTAATTTGCCCATATGCAAATTAACGCATGTAACATGATAATTTCAACAATAAATTCAGACACTCATGTTTTTATTGATCATCGGCTTTATTGTTTGCAGTCTCGAACTCGGTCTCTTTTTACTACGAATGATGTTGTCTGACTCTTCCCTATGCAAATCTTTATGGTGGTTTCCTTTGTTTCGTAATCAAGTAAAACCCACTGGACCGGTTTTTCTGCCCCCTCAGTCCCTATATAAACGCGTCCCTGACTGCTCTGTTTCTGTCAGTACTGACTCTGCAGCCGTGAGCATCTGTGCCGTCGTGAAAACATCGTGCAGTACTTTGGGCCGTCAGTGCATCTTGGTAGGTGCTGACTATTATTTTCTTTTTGTGTTCTTACTTGCTACCAGTACTGCCATGTGGCACCTTGTTGTAGGCTACATTTTAAATCAACCGACGAAGGTTTTGTGTTAGGTGCATCATATAACGAGTGTGGTGCATATATCAACAATGATATGTTGGAGCTGTTCTCTAGTGGAGCGGCTTTGACTTTGTACAGTGGTCATACCCTTGTATGATATGTCGTGTTCTGAATATGCTGTGCTATAATTCTGGGTTTTGTAACTGAATGTTTAGAAGCATTTCTCAGTATAACATCTGACATCTGAATTTTACATATTCCCGTAGGATATCAGGGGTTTGACCAACATGGCGGCCAGATCTGAATCATACCTAAAACAGGGGAAGGGAGAGAGTGTGCATGAAGAGAAGGATTCTCCGCGCACCCACAAGTGTGGCGAGTGCGGCAAGGCGTTTCGCTTCCTGTGTCATTTCAAGCGACACATGCTGACTCACACGGGTGAGAAACCGTATCAATGCGAGGAATGTAGCAGGTGCTTTAGTCTGCTGGGTCAACTGAGGTCTCATATCAGGACCCACACCGGTGAGAAACCCTACACGTGTGAGGAATGTAATAAAAGCTTCAGTCGGCTGAGTAATCTACAGAGACACAGGCGGACTCACACGGGTGAGAAACCTTACCGATGTGAGGAATGTGACAAAAGCTACAGTCAGCTGAGTCAGCTGAAGAGACACATGCGGATCCACACCGGTGAGAAGCCGTATCAATGTGAGGAATGCAGCAGGTGCTTCAGAATGCTGGTTCACCTGAGGTCTCATATCAGGACCCACACCGGTGAGAAACCCTACACGTGTGAGGAGTGCAGCAGGCAGTTCAGCGACCTGGGTACTCTGAAGCGACACATGCGGACTCACACTGGTGAGAAACCGTACACATGTGAGGAGTGCAGCAGACAGTTCAGAGACCTGGGTACTCTGAAGCGACACATTCGGACTCACACAGGTGAGAAACCGTACAGATGTGAGGAGTGCAGCAGACAGTTCAGTGTGCTTCATAGTCTGAAGAAACACAAGCGGACTCATACAGGTGAAAAGCAATACAAGTCTGAAGAGTGCCGCAAGCAGTTTAGTCAGCTGTCAAATCTTAAGAGACACATGAGGACTCACACAGGTGAGAAACCCTACAGGTGTGGGGAGTGCAGCAGGTGGTTCAGCGAGCTGGGTAATCTGAAGAAACACATGCAGACTCACACTGGTGAGAAACCGTAAGAGTGTGGCAGGCAGTTCAGCAGGCTGGGTCATCTGAAGCTTCGAAGACACGCGTGCGCACTCAGAGAGCGCACAACCCGTAGATGTCTTAAACAGGCAACAAAAAAACTCATTCCGGAGAAAAGCCTGTCAGTTTCTTTATAAAGGTTACTGAGTGGGGATGTTTTAAATGTCCTTACTGTTTGATCTCATCGTGTTCTTCTTCTTCAAACGAAACCGTTTATTATTTTTACTATTTTTTTCTGCCAGTAGTGTATTCTATACATGATTCCAATGCAATAGTTAACAATATCGGTGATTTTATATCACGGTCGTTTTCTAACTCCGTAGCCTGTTGATTAGAGTTAGAAGCCGTGTGTAAAATGTGAAGGTGTAGTAGTTAGATAATAGTTACATGACAGGACACCGTTCATTTAACGTCAAAGCGTCATTATCCGTCTGTTATAGAACTTAGTTAACTACGTGTTTTCGTGTTTTAGTATCTGTAAATACACTAGATCTTTAGCGTTTAGTTACAGTTGGAGCATGTTACTTATTAACGAATGAAAATGTAGTTTGTTTTACTGCAATTCTGTAAGGTAGAGGTAGCATAGAGTTAGAGATTTGTCAACTTCGGCATCTCATTCTAAACAATAAAGCGCATTATGTGCCTAATTTGTTTGTTATCGTCGCTTTCTTTTTTTCCATGCTGTACTCTTTTTCCTAAGGACGTTGTCTGATTCCCCTATGCAAATCAGCGCGTGTAACATGGTGCGTTCATCACCTTACCAAGTTCTCCTCTTTTCCCAATTAATAAGTGTGTTGCCCGCTATTCAAGTCATTTTAGATTTTTTTTATTTGCTGGGACTATAGTGTGTAAAATTAGATTTTTTTACTCACAATGGATTTTTTGTATACTAGTATATTAATTTGAACAAGTCAGCTTACAACTTAGAGAAGACATTTATTCTGAAATGGATTTTGCTCAGTCTTTAAGCATTTATCAACTCTGAAATTTAATTCTTGGTCAGACGCGCCAGACAAAATCTCTCCAAAGTCGTTGTTCAACCACCTGACGTGTTTTGTATTGTGTGCAAAATAGGTTAGAGCTACAAGGCATTGATCGTATTCATGGTTGGCCGTCTTTATTGGGGAATTTACTAACAGCTTTAAAGCTAGGTGTTTGATACATTTTCAAACTACTATAATGGCCATTTCAGGACCTTTTGTTGAATAAGATCTAATGGTTTGCCGACACGCAACAGCCCCCATTGTATGCAGACAGTCGTCCCTTTGATCTCAGTTTCAACAATAAGATAAAACACGTAATATGCATGCTGTTGTCTTTATTATCATTGTCTAAATGATTGTATCTTTATCTAATGTTGTTGTCTGATTTCCCTTATGCAAATCGGCACATGTAACAAAATACTTTCCTTTGTTTCGTAATCAAGTAAAACCCACCGGACCGGTTTTATCCACCACTCAGTCCCTATATAAAAGCACCCCTGACTGCTCTGTTTCTGTCAGTACTGACTCTGCAGCCGTGAGGATCTGTGCCGTCGTGAAAACATCGTGCAGTACATCTTGGTAAGTGCCGAGTGTGATTTGGTCTTCCTGTGCATTATTAAGTACCCAACTGTTCTTTTGTTCATTATAAGCATACCAAACCATGCATTTCAAGACGCTTATGTGTATGATTGTAACCATTTCTCATTTTGACTTACTATATCATGTTTCTACATTATTCCTGTAGGTTTGATCAACATGGCGACAGCTAAATTCTGTCTGAATCAAGAAGAGGGAGGGCAGAGTTCTCCCCGTACCCACAAGTGCAGAGAGTGCTGTAAGGAGTTCCGCTTCCCGAGTGATCTTAAGACGCACCTGCGGACTCACACAGGAGAGAAGCCCTACAGGTGTGAAGAGTGTGGTAGACAGTTCAGTGTGCTGGATAGTCTGAGAAGACACATACGGACTCACACTGGTGAGAAACCGTACAAGTGTAAAGAGTGTAGCAGACAGTTCAGCAGGCTGGGTACTCTAAATGAGCACATGAGAACTCACACTGGTGAGAAACCTTACAGGTGTGAGGAGTGCAGCCGGTCGTTTAGCAGACTGTCAGATCTAAAGACACACATACGGACTCACAGTGGTGAGAAACCGTACAAGTGTGAAGAGTGCAGCAAGCAGTTCAGTAGGCTGGGTCATCTGAAGAGACACATGCGGACTCACACTGGTGAG